TCACCTTGACCATCTCATTACTTAGACTCATGTTACCTGTCTTCCCTACACCCCCCCCCCCTTGTACACTGTCTACACCACTTGTACTACCCCCTACACTGTCTACACCACTTGTACTACCCCTACACTGTCTACACCACTTGTACTACCCCCTACACTGTCTACACCACTTGTACTACCCCTACACTGTCTACACCACTTGTACTACCCCCTACACTGTCTACACCACTTGTACTACCCCTACACTGTCTACACCACTTGTACTACCCCCTACACTGTCTACACCACTTGTACTACCCCTAAACTGTCTACACCACTTGTACTACCCCTACACTGTCTACACCACTTGTACTACCCCTAAACTGTCTACACCACTTGTACTACCCCCCCTACACTGTCTACACCACTTGTACTACCCCTAAACTGTCTACACCACTTGTACTACCCCTACACTGTCTACACCACTTGTACTACCCCCTACACTGTCTACACCACTTGTACTACCCCTAAACTGTCTACACCACTTGTACTACCCCTACACTGTCTACACCACTTGTACTACCCCCTACACTGTCAACACCACTTGTACTAGCCCCCTACACTGTCTACACCATTTGTACTACCCCCCTACACTGTCAACACCACTTGTACTACCCCCCCCCCTACACTGTCAACACCACTTGTACTACCCCCCTACACTGTCTACACCATTTGTACTACCCCCCTACACTGTTTACACCACTTGTACTACCCCTACACTGTCTACACCACTTGTACTACCCCCTACACTGTCAACACCACTTGTACTACCCCCCCTACACTGTCTACACCACTTGTACTACCCCCCCTACACTGTCTACACCACTTGTACTACCCCCCTACACTGTCTACACCACTTGTACTACCCCCCTACACTGTCTACACCACTTGTACTACCCCCCTACACTGTCTACACCACTTGTACTACCCCCTCCTACACTGTCTACACCACTTGTACTACCCCTACACTGTCTACACCACTTGTACTATCCCCTACACTGTCTACACCACTTGTACTACCCCTACACTGTCTACACCACTTGTACTACCCCCCCTACACTGTCAACACCACTTGTACTACCCCTACACTGTCTACACCACTTGTACTACCCCCTACACTGTCTACACCACTTGTACTACCCCCCTACACTGTCTACACCACTTGTACTACCCCTACACTGTCTACACCACTTGTACTACCCCCCCTACACTGTCTACACCACTTGTACTACCCCCCCTACACTGTCTACACCACTTGTACTACCCCCTACACTGTCAACACCACTTGTACTACCCCTACACTGTCTACACCACTTGTACTACCCCCCTACACTGTCTACACCACTTGTACTACCCCCCTACACTGTCTACACCACTTGTACTACCCCCCCTACACTGTCTACACCACTTGTACTACCCCTACACTGTCTACACCACTTGTACTACCCCTACACTGTCTACACCACTTGTACTACCCCCCTACACTGTCTACACCACTTGTATTACCCCTACACTGTCTACACCACTTGTACTACCCCCCCTACACTGTCTACACCACTTGTACTACCCCCCTACACTGTCTACACCACTTGTACTACCCCCCTACACTGTCTACACCACTTGTACTACCCCCTACACTGTCTACACCACTTGTACTACCCCCCTACACTGTCTACACCACTTGTACTACCCCTACACTGTCTACACCACTTGTACTACCCCTACACTGTCTACACCACTTGTACTACCCCCCTACACTGTCAACACCACTTGTACTACCCCCCTTACACTGTCTACACCACTTGTACTACCCCTACACTGTCTACACCACTTGTACTACCCCCTACACTGTCTACACCACTTGTACTACCCCCCCCCTACACTGTCTACACCACTTGTACTACCCCCCTACACTGTCTACACCACTTGTACTACCCCTACACTGTCAACACCACTTGTACTACCCCTACACTGTCAACACCACTTGTACTACCCCCCTACACTGTCAACACCACTTGTACTACCCCCCTACACTGTCTACACCACTTGTACTACCCCCCTACACTGCCAACACCACTTGTACTACCCCTACACTGTCAACACCACTTGTACTACCCCCCTACACTGTCTACACCACTTGTACTACCCCTACACTGTCAACACCACTTGTACTACCCCTACACTGTCAACACCACTTGTACTACCCCTACACTGTCAACACCACTTGTACTACCCCCCTACACTGTCTACACCACTTGTACTACCCCCTACACTGTCTACACCACTTGTACTACCCCCTACACTGTCTACACCACTTGTACTACCCCCCTACACTGTCTACACCACTTGTACTACCCCCTACACTGTCTACACCACTTGTACTACCCCCCTACACTGTCTACACCACTTGTACTACCCCCCTACACTGTCTACACCACTTGTACTACCCCCCCTACACTGTCTACACCACTTGTACTACCCCCCCCCCTACACTGTCTACACCACTTGTACTACCCCTACACTTTTTTACAGGAAAGAGATGGTTGGGTTGACTGCATCTATCTGGACCTAAAAAGGGCTTTCGACAGAGTTCCACATAAGAGGTTGTTCTGGAAACTGGAACATATTGGAGGGGTGACAGGTAAGCTAACATGGGTGAAAAATTTCCTGACAGAAAAATGAGGGCCGTAATCAGAGGCAATGTATCGGATTGGAGGAATGTCACTTGTGGAGTACCACAGGGTTCAGTTCTTGCACCAGTAATGTTCATTTATTTATTTATTTATTTATTTATTTATTTATTTATATACAAGGTACATTGGGTTTGTGAGAATACATAGCATAGTACAGTAATTGCACTCTTGTAAAGCCACTAGTACGCGCAGCGTTTCGGGCAGGCATTGTCTTCATAAACGATCTACCAGTTGGTATACAGAATTATATGAACATGTTTGCTGATGATGCTAAGATAATAGGGAAGATAAGAAACCTAGATGATTGTCATGCCCTTCAAGAAGACCTGGACAAAATAAGTATATGGAGCAATACTTGGCAAATGGAATTTAATGTGAATAAATGCCATGTTATTTAATGTGGAATAGGAGAACATAGACCCCCACACAACCTATAAATTATGTGAGAAATCTTTAAAGAATTTTGATAAAGAAAGAGATCTATGGATGGTTCTAGATAGAAAACTGTCACCTGAGGACCACATTAAGAACATTGTGCGAGGAGCCTATGCCACGCTCTCTAACTTCAGAATTGCTTTTAAATACATGGATGGCGAAATATTAAAGAAATTGTTCACGACTTTTATTAGACCAAAGCTGGAATATGTAGCGGTTGTATGGTGCCCATATCTTAAGAAGCGCATCAACAAACTGGAAAAGGTGCAAAGACATGCTACTAAGTGGCTCCCAGAACTGAAGGGCAAGAGCTACGAGGAGAGGTTAGAGGCATTAAATATGTAAAAACTAGAAGATAGAAGAAAAAAAGAGATGATATGATCACTACATACAAAATAGTAACAGGAATTGATAAAATCGACAGGGAAGGTTTCCTGAGACCCGGAACTTCAAGAACAAGACGTCATAGATTTAAACTAACGAAACAAAGCTGCCGGAGAAATATACGAAAATTCACTTTCGCAAACAGAGTGGTAGACGGTTGGAACAAGTTAAGGGAGAAGGTGGTGGAGGCCAAGACCGTCAGTAGTTTCAAAGCGTTATATGACAAAGAGTGCTGGGAAGAAGGGACACCACGAGCGTAGCTCTCATCCTGTAACTACACTTAGGTAATTACACTGTCTACACCACTTGTATTACCTCTACATTTTAATTTATTCTGACGAACAAATAGTTCTATAACATTGAATTCTTACCCGATCGACTTGGGGATAGTATGAAGATGTTTGCCCTGAAATTTACATTTTCTCTAATAGCCACATTGCCTTTTTGGGAGAACGGAATTGTTTTGTAGCTTTGTGGTAAAACTATTGTATTATTGACACAAGTGTAATCGACGAAGTTTTTTTATTTGGTGCCGGTCTAACGCATCCTTGTGTGTCATTTTATACATATGTTCTTCTAGAACATTCTATTGCAAACACATTGGTACAAAAATTAAATACGTACATAGAAAATTAAGGTCAGAACAGTGAAAAAGAGTATACACTTTTCAGTGTTGCCGCTCGATCGCCCAATACGCTAAGAGCACTTTGGACTAGTTTTTTTTGGTCGTTTGCCGGGAGGAGGAAAGTATATAAAGATTTTCATTTTTATGAACCTTTTCTTTCGTATCTTTACATCAACTGTAAATCTGTAAAGTTTTCTGTTCAATCCAGTGTGCAAATCATTTATATATGGTAAACATGAGAGGCAACACCCCTGGGCCTTGTTTATAGGTGCCATACTCTCTCTTTTTGGACATGAGGTCGATCTCGAACCCATTGTTGATGTGACGACTTATATTGAATTTTGTAACTAGCTCATCAAGATTGTAACTTGCTTAGCTAAATGGATTGTGGGGTTCAGTCCCTGAGCCCATTGTGTGCCTCTGTAACCCTTTCCACTATCGCCCACAAGATGGGTATGGGGTCCACTACCACCCACAAGATGGGGTATAGGGTGCATAATAAAAGAACCTAACTAACTGGTGAAGTGTCTTCTAAGTTAAGAGTCTAGCGTGTCTTCTAGACTCTACTTGCTGTAGTTCCCGCTCCAACTTTACTTCATTTATGGGAACTGTTTTTCTTTGAAATGGCCTAATGCAGCCTAAGATAATCTTGGCCCCGTATCATGTGCCTTTACCTTCAGAGAAGTTAAAGTGAAAGTTTAAAATCTATGAATATAATGTCGATATCTTCTTCGCTATCAACTACTTGAAAAATACTGAAATTAATGAGAGTAAATTTAATTAACCGCTCACCCCTTAATCTGTAAATATATACTGGAAAATACCTGTATTACAAATAAGTCTGCTGCAGTATTTGACTCAGAGCTCCGGAGATTACTGGCTCAGGCAATGAGGGGCGACTTTTCTGTGTTCCAAGGAGGTGCGCGCTGTTATAGGCACGAGTAAATGACGAGTGAGTGGGCGAGTGGTGATATATACTGGCAGGGTGCATGTGGACAGCTTCCTCACCGCTCTCTCGCCTAACTGTTCCTCTCTTATACGGGTGCCGGAAGCATGCGGGCCAAAGGGTCCCTGGGTAAATGCCCTGATAATAATATATTATATATATATATATATATATATATATATATATATATATATATATATATATATATATATATATATATATATATATATATATATATATATATATATATGACAATGTCAGACCACGGAGGAAAATGAAACAGGAATTTCCTTAAGTACTTTCGTATATTAAATACATCTTCAGAAGGCATCTTCAGATACCTTCTGAAGATGTATTTAATATACGAAAGTACTTAAGGAAATTCCTGTTTCATTTTCCTCCGTGGTCTGACATTGTCACATTCTTAATCACGTGTTTATTTTCGTGATATACACACACACACACACACAATATATATACATATCTATATATATATATATATATATATATATATATATATATATATATATATATATATATATATATATATATATATATATATATATATATATATATATATATATATATATATATATATATATATATATATATATATATATATATATATATATATATATATATATATATATATATATATATATATATATATATATATATATATATCTACATTTGAGTGAGGTGGGAAGGGTGATGTGGCATTACATTTGAGTAAGGTGGGAAGGATGATGTGGCATTAGAGGATATTAATAGGGTATTAAAAGTATCAACACAAGACAGAACACGAAACAATGGATATTGAATAGAAGTGTTTGTAGAAAGCCTATTGGTCCATATTTCTTGATGCTTCTATATTGGAGCGGAGTCTTGAGGTGGGTAGAATATAGTTGTGCAATAATTGGCTGTTGATTGCTGGTGTTGACTTCTTGATGTGTAGTGCCTCGCAAACGTCTAGCCGCCTGCTATCGCTGTATCTATCGATGATTTCTGTGTTGTTTACTAGGATTTCTCTGGCGATGGTTTGGTTATGGGAAGAGATTATATGTTCCTTAATGGAGCCCTGTTGTTTATGCATCGTTAAACGCCTAGAAAGAGATGTTGTTGTCTTGCCTATATACTGGGTTTTTTGGAGCTTACAGTCCCCAAGTGGGCATTTGAAGGCATAGACGACGTTAGTCTCTTTTAAAGCGTTCTGTTTCGTGTCTGGAGAGTTTCTCATGAGTAGGCTGGCCGTTTTTCTGGTTTTATAGTAAATCGTCAGTTGTATCCTCTGATTTTTGTCTGTAGGGATAACGTTTCTATTAACAATATCTTTCAGGACCCTTTCCTCTGTTTTATGAGCTGTGGAAAAGAAGTTCCTGTAAAATAGTCTAATAGGGGGTATAGGTGTTGTGTTAGTTGTCTCTTCGGAGGTTGCAATGGTCGCTATGGTCGCTATGGGTTCTCCCCTAGGTGTCCTGTTTGCAAACTTCTACATGGGTACCATCGAGCAAAAAGTCTTAGTCGACATGAACTTGAAACCGGCCATATACTGCAGGTATGTTGACGACATTTTTACACAGGTACCTGATGTCAGACATCTGCAGGAGCTGAAGGAGGCATTTGAGCAGAGTTCCGTGCTGCGTTTCACTTACGAGACGGAAAAGGATGGGAAGCTGCCTTTTCTAGATGTAACAGTCATGGAAAAGGGCGGAGGTTTCCACACTGCAGTCTACACAAAGGAAACAAACATAGGAATGTGCCTAAATGCCAACAGCGACTGCCCTGACAGGTACAAGAGGAGTGTTGTTAACGCATACGTCGACCGTGCTCTCAGCCACAGCTCAGAATGGAAGCAAGTCGACGAAGAACTCTGTAGGGTAAGGCAGGTTCTAGTCAATAACGGCTTCTCCAATGGTTTCATCGAAGACATCATAAGAAGGAAAGTGAAAAGCCATGCAACCTCCGAAGAGACAACTAACACAACACCTATACCCCCTATTAGACTATTTTACAGGAACTTCTTTTCCACAGCTCATAAAACAGAGGAAAGGGTCCTGAAAGATATTGTTAATAGAAACGTTATCCCTACAGACAAAAATCAGAGGATACAACTGACGATTTACTATAAAACCAGAAAAACGGCCAGCCTACTCATGAGAAACTCTCCAGACACGAAACAGAACGCTTTAAAAGAGACTAACGTCGTCTATGCCTTCAAATGCCCACTTGGGGACTGTAAGCTCCAAAAAACCCAGTATATAGGCAAGACAACAACATCTCTTTCTAGGCGTTTAACGATGCATAAACAACAGGGCTCCATTAAGGAACATATAATCTCTTCCCATAACCAAACCATCGCCAGAGAAATCCTAGTAAACAACACAGAAATCATCGATAGATACAGCGATAGCAGGCGGCTAGACGTTTGCGAGGCACTACACATCAAGAAGTCAACACCAGCAATCAACAGCCAATTATTGCACAACTATATTCTACCCACCTCAAGACTCCGCTCCAATATAGAAGCATCAAGAAATATGGACCAATAGGCTTTCTACAAACACTTCTATTCAATATCCATTGTTTCGTGTTCTGTCTTGTGTTGATACTTTTAATACCCTATTAATATCCTCTAATGCCACATCATCCTTCCCACCTTACTCAAATGTAATGCCACATCACCCTTCCCACCTCACTCAAATATATATATATATATATATATATATATATATATATATATATATATATATATATATATATATATATATATATATATATATATATATATATATATATATCTGTGTGTGTGTGTACACTCACCTAATTGTCCTTGCGGGGGGTTGAGCTTTGGCTCTTTGGTCCCGCCTCTCAACTATCAATCAACAGGTGTACAGGTTCCTGAGCCTATTGGGCTCTATCATATCTACACTTGAAACTGTGTATGGAGTCAGCCTCCACCACATCACTGCCTAATTCATTCCATTTATTAACTACTCTGAGAGAGAGTGTGCGCGCGCGCGTAAATCACGAAAAATAAACGTGATTAAAAATGCGAGTGTCAGACCACGGAGGAAAATTGAAACAAGAATTTCCTTAATTACTTTCGTATATTAATACATCTTCAGAAGGAGTCAACTTCACTTCTTCTGAAGATGTATTAAATAATACAGGACAGACGTAAATGAACTTGGCTTCCACTGTGTTCCAGAGACAATTTAATATTACTGTACTTTCTTCACTGATCCGGACATCATTGTCAGAATTAATTTCAAACAAGTACTGATCCCTCTTTGAGTGCCTTTTAATATCGATCATGTATTAGGGGAAGACTTCTCACTACTGATAAACTGTCAAGTACCTTACCTTGTGATGATTTCGGAGCTCACCGTCACCGCGGCCCGCTTCCTCAGGACGTCAGTCAAAACAGTCTGAATATCTCCAGTCAACCCAAAAATTCGGCCACGTCTGTGGTATTCATACATCTCACACCATCCGGAGTGTCATGCATATACAACGTAACCGTAGCTACAAGGAACAGCAACGGTCAGCTGATGCCACCTACACACAACCTGTCCTCAGGCCAGGCTCGTTAAAGCAGCGCCCATCCTCGAAGACGCAGTCATCAATTTTAACTAGTCTGTATTAAAAATGGGTTTGCTCTCATATATTATTATTATTATATAATCCTTGATGCTCATCTTAATACAAGGCGAGCATGGATGCGTACTCGGAGGAGCAAGGCGAGCACTTCCACTTAAATTTAATTTAATTAATTTAATTAATTAAATCAACTGTAAATCACCTTTAACTAATCAGCGCCAAATGTAGTTTGCATCATGTTTTGGTTATACTGTCCAGATTCACGAAAGCGCTTACGCAAGCACTTACGAACCTGTCCATCTTTTCTCAATCTTTGGGGGCTTTGTTCACAATTAATAAACAGTTAATGAGATCCGAAGCACCAGGAGGCTGTTTATAACAATAATAGTTGATTGGCAAGTTTAAATGCTTGTAAACTGTTTAATAAATGTAAACAAAGCCGTCAAAGATTGAGGAAAGATGTACACGTTCGTAAGTGCTTGCGTAACTGCTTTCGTGAATCTGGACAGTATAACCAAAACATGATGCAAACTACATTTGGCGCTGATTAGTTAAAGGTGATTTACAGTTGAACTGTAAATCTCTAAAAACTACTAGTTTTAAATCTCTTGTATAAACATATGTTAACATTGATTCATGTGTCGGTTACTCATACTTTATGTGAACGAAAAGATGCAAATTCATCTGCTTTGTCATTGAAAATAGATAATTTTAAAAATATGACTCTCCTGGTTACTAACGTGAAGTTTAAAGGGGAAATAATAACCATATTTTGTACTTTATAGACAAAAGCAATTATAATATATACTACCCATGAACAAAAAAGTTACATTGTGTAATATTGGGAGTATGAGCTACACTGAGACGACAATATTTAATGACGGCCTTATTTCTCTAGTTATCATACACTCATTCATTGTCAACTAATTAAAATAGTAATTATATATAGGAACATTTCCATTTTGGGAGCCGGTCGGCTGAGTGGACAGCACGCTGGACTTGTGATCCTGTGGTCCCGGGTTCGATCCCGGGCGCCGGCGAGAAACAACGGGCAGAGTTTCACCCTATGCCCCCTGTTACCTGGCAGTAAAATAGGTACCTGGGTGTTAGTCAGCTGTCACGGGCTGCTTCCTGGGGGTGGAGGCCTGGTCGTGGCCCGGGCCGCAGGGACACTAAAGCCCCGAAATCATCTCAAGATAACCTCAAGATACTTGCACCATTATTATGATAGAAAATGGAGAATAAAAAATCAATGTTTTTAATATTGTTTCCACTCCTAATTATAGTTTTAAATAGTAAAGGTGGAAACAGCAGATATTTTCTTACTAGATATACAATTAAAAACTTTAATTTCAACATTTTGATTTTTAAGCTTTATTTCACACCTCTCTAGAATAAGGTTAAAAAATTACGTCACAGCCAAAGGGTTGAAAACAATTAAGCCGTTAATTTTGTTTTGGTGTTCCCAATCAAATGTAGCTTCAATTTTCAACAAAATTTTAAATACATATAATGAAAGAGGTTCCACATCTAATATTTGTGATTAATTCAACTTGCAAACATAAAAAATGGGTGATTCAAAAATATGTACAATACAATTTTATTACTTTAATTACAAACTGACATAACTACCAACTATCATGTGTATGCAGATGAAAAGTCACAATAACGTGACTGAAAAAAAAAAATGTGTAATCATGTGTAGTCAACACATGCGTATAGTAACGGATACCAGAGAAGACATGTTTACCTACCATGGGCCTTGGCCCTTTGTGGAAGTTTCACGGGAATGTTTCTTTCCCGTTTGACAGGACACAATTTTATGATTGTTTATTAACTTCCGCCAGTGCACTAGCACAATAAGCACAACCAAACCTACCATCAACGTCAAAATTAAATTTGACTTTAGTAATAATTACAAACACATATTAGTAATATTCAGGATTAGGAAACTACTGTACTTCATTGTTTGAATTATTAAATGGAATTTGACTTACATGTTCTTTATTATCTTCTACTTCAATAACTAATTAACGCTCATCCTCCACACTTTCTAATTGTTCTAGTTAACGTTATGAGTGGAGTAGATGAGTACATACTCTCACTGTTCTGGTTAACCTTCTGGGTGGAGTAGATGGGCACTAACAACTTAGGCTAAGCAAGTAATTATCAAAAGAAGGCACCAAACCGGGAAGGCTATGTAGCACCATCAAATGTGCGGGATAATCAGAGGGCGCTAAATATCACCAAGGATGCCAATACCAGAACAGAAACGCATAAAGCGAATGATATCAAAAGTATCCGAGTCACCAAGAATTCTATCGAGGGACAAGCGACCGCGAGGGTCGGTCGGAAAACAAGACACGCTGGTCCCGGAAGTCAGGACATTCAACTTAGGATAAACATCAAGCTAATGTTAGCATAATTGATAATTCTGTCTGTTCATTATTTTAGTGTCATTATAAAAAAATATCATACTGACATGATAATCATAGTCTAATGTGCCTCCTCATCTAATATCCACGTGTAAGTGGCATATAATTGGAAAGTGGTGAATGATGTTTAATTGAAAATAGAGAATATGCTGGGCTTAATTAATATATGGACATTTAGGGAGAGCCAGATATGGTTAAGTGTTTTATGCATATTGCAGACAAAATATAGCATAATCCTCTGATTAGTATTAAGCCAATTAGCAGTGCAAATGTAATGCACTAACCATACTACTACCCAGAACAACCAGGAATTTCTGTTCATTAACTAATTTATATACAGAGGAACCTCGAGTGATGAGCAGCTCCATGTACGAGCATTTCAAGTAACAAGTGGGCCACTCGCAGAAAATTTGTCTCGACTGACGAGCTTTCATTCGATTAACGAGAAAACCACATGGTGCTTCCTAGCGTTCCCGCTGGTTCTCACAAATTCTCGGACGCCTCTAACAATGCAAATCAATTATTTTTTTTTTAAAGATGCTAATGATGCTGGGATGTAAAGGGGTGACTGCTGTGATGTTGCAAAGCATTAAAAAAAAATAGAATTTTTTTTAAATATTTAAAAATTTGAAAACAGAAAAAATGTCATAAAGGTTCGTTCAGTATATGTCAGGTAGGCTGCTCCATTTTCTATAAAAAACTGAAAAATAAAAAACTGAACAAATTTGAAAAAAGAAAAAATGTCATAAAGGTTCGTTCAGTGTATGTCAGGTAGGCTGCTCCATTTTCTATAAAAAACTGAAAAACAAAAATTGAACAAATTTGAAAAAAAGTCAAAGGTTTGTTCAGTGTATGTCAGGTAGGCTGCTCCATCATTTAAAAAATTGAATATCATACTGATGTTTTTCGGTGGTGGAACGGATTAATTTTATTTCCATTATTTTAAATGGGGAAATTCGTTTCGAAAGACGAGCGTTTCACATGACTAGCTCGGTGCCGGAACAGATTAAATTCGTTAATCGAGGCTCCACTGTATTATTGTTCTCCAACTTCTGATTTTATACTTATTTTCTTATGGATGGTAAATATAAAATTTAACAAGACATCATTGTGAATTGAATTCTAAAAAAAAAAAATAAGCTTAACTTAAAAGCTTAGCCTTAGCTTTAGGTAACGCGTTTAACCTTCCAAAGACCGAATACCGTAAAAGATATTAAAGAACTTGATTTCAGCTCAAAATATAAAGCAAGTAACTGAAGTAGCAAGTAACTCCTAACTGAAATTTTGCAATTCAGTACAGTATTATTAAAGAATAACCCCAATTTGTAGAAAATTAAAAAATATTAAAGAAATTTAAAAATTCAGCATTATGGCTTTCCCTTGAAAAACAAGAGTTCCACAGCACTTCATACAATGAGTGAAATTGTTTATTTTGTCTACAAGACAATGCAGGAGAGAAGTTGATACATGGACATCAACGCCACCTACACTATCAGTAACACACAATGGTCTACAGCATCAAACCACTATCTTGCATTAACAAAATATACCTCACTAGAAACTTTGCTGTATTCAATTTAGCATCTTATATTAGGGGTTTCAAAAACATTTTGAAACCTTAAACTACAAGATGTCAGCTTAACAAATAATTAACAAATAACATTTCCTCATTAGTTACAAAAAAGGTGTGAATATACAAATATATTAAAAAACATTGCACAGCAAAAATAGCAAGACCAGATTCAGTGGCCTGAATGTGCAATGACAATCACTTCAATGGCAGGATCTCCAGAGCAATAACTTGGTCTGTCTGGGGAGAGAATAGGTGACCTTTCTGTTAGAACCTTTTCCTCACACTCGCCTGCTTGTGAAGAAAACTCTTGATTCCTATACAAGATGAGAATCCCCCGCCTGACCCTCTTTCTTTTCGCCCCCGTTTTTGATGATTGTGTCGACATGTCCTGATGCTTTGACCTCCACACCTGACCCATGGAAGGATACCAGCCCTAGTCAAACTTCTCTCGAAGGCGACTTCTTAAAATTATTGGAACTAGAGACAACAGAGCTGCAGCAGTCAGAAGTACCTGCAAAGAAACATTTATTATATTAATGCTACACTTTACGTCAGGTATAAGACACTAAATCTTATATGCAGACAAACACCAAGAGGAATATACTTTCTAAAGAATATTATGTCTAAGAGCTTTATCATGTCTAACAGATATAGAGAATTGGTAATTATAAAGGGAAAATCTAAGACAGAATCAAGTCCTTACAGGCAAAAATCTTCAAATCAAGTTTATTCTCACCCAATCTTATTTTTACCTATTTACTGCTAGGGGAAACTATTTACTGCTAGGTGAATTTATTTTATTTAAATAAGTAACATGGAGAGTGAATAGGTTCCAGTCAGCCTTGACAAACTGCCATCTAGGGAAGGGAGAAAGATCAAGACAGGAGAGGGTGCGAGTGCAGGAGTCCACTTGAGTGGGTTCACCAGAATTCAGAAGAGACAGAAGAAGAGAGGACAAATGGTTGTAGAAGGTGGCCTCAGGTGTTTGTCAGAGCATCACCCTAGAGGGTATGCCGACAGTTGAAATCAACCAACAGGAGAGCATCACCCTAGAGGGTATGCCGACAGTTGAAATCAACCAACAGGAGAGCATAACCCTAGAGGGTATGCCGACAGTTGAAATCAACCAACAGGAGAGCATCACCCTAGAGGGTATGCCGACAGTTGAAATCAACCAACAGGAGAGCATCACCCTAGAGGGTATGCCGACAGTTGAAATCAACCAACAGGAGAGCATCACCCTAGAGGGTATGCCGACAGTTGAAATCAACCAACAGGAGAGCATCACCCTAGAGGTTATGCCGACAGTTGAAATCAACCAACAGGAGCACAGGCTCTGGAAACGAGTCCAACAGGTGCTTAAGATCAGGAAGAGAAAGTGGGACATTTGGGGGAAGATAAATGAAACAGACTGTATACCCCCCTCACAGTAACTCCCTGTTTTCTGTTGCTTAGATACTCCCTTATAAACTGGAGCACCTTACCTGTTATTCCTGCATGTTTCTCCAACTTTTGTAACAGCCTCTTTTGGGGTACTGTGTCAAAAGGCTTTCTGAGTCTAAGAATATGCAGTCTGCTCACCCTCTCTTTCTTGTCTAATTTTTGTCACCTGGTCATAAAATTCTCCCACTTATAGCAATGTGCCTATGGAAAATCTTGGTCCACGTTCCGAACAAATGCTTTACAAAGACAGTCTTAGAATGTAACTCATTTATAATTGGGGAGCCTGTACTCCACTTTGTTATGTACTTGATCCCATCTATTATTGTAATTTACTACAGTATAGTATACGAAAATACAATTTTGCTTACCACAGATGTTAAAGAGAAGGCGTCGCTAGAGGAGGTGAGCTGGTATAAGGTGGTGCCAGCTTGTACAGCTAATATACTAGGAGGAGCCACACCTTAAAAAAAAAACATACGTTGAATGTAATAAAACTCCCTTTTCTGGGCGAGACCCTGAGGCTCTCCGGAGCTAACCGGGCTGATATGAATGTATAAGACCCTGGCATCAATCAAGCGAATAGAGTTCTTAGGCCTACCGGGGACCGCGAGCCAGAACCTGGCCCCCCTCAGAGGCATGAGGAGCAATGGCCTATAAAAACCAACATTTATACCAACATATATGTTTTATACCAACAGTATGTGAAAAAGTATTAGGGAATATAATAACCATGGTTTAATAGACAGTGTCAGGAAGCCACTCCACTCCCGAGATGCAGTAGGTAGTGGAGGAAGTACAGAGGACAAAGGACAGAAGACAACAGGAAGATATGCAACAGAGCTAGGAATGAATATATTAATATAAGGAGAGTATTACTCAGTAATAAAAGCCATACAGAAATCAAATGGATGTTAATGCAGCGCTTCATTTCCTAGAAACAAAGCTGCAGCCACGTATATAAAATTTTCTAACAAAGAAAGAAAATATATACTGCTGCACTGATGATAGTGTACAGCAGACAGCACACTAACTAAAAACTCTCATTTAATAACATTAAATTTAATAACTAAAATACTATCCACATAGTACTTTATTTATTAAGACCAAGCTACTTTAATGTCTTGACCATCATCTGATCTGTGAAATATTTATCTTATTTTTGCAGTCTGCAGGTATAAAATGTTTGAAGAATGCTGGTTAAGATGGACCTGCAGGAGAGACGTCAGCTCCATATCCAAGGTGGTGGAAGCTATTCGTCAATCCTGGGATAACATCTCACCTGACAACCCGTTCTCGCACTTTCGTAGTCAATATTGACTTGTTAAATACGTGCATATGTGACATACTGTACTAAACATACTAGTTTACCTTGAAAAGCTTCATAGAAAACACAGACCTTACCTAACCTTCTTAGTATGATAAGATAAGCATCTTATTGCTTCGTAATTACAATTATTACCTAACCTATACCTATAATAGGTTAAGTAATAATTGTAATTACGAAGCAATAAGATGCTTATCTTAACATACTAAGAAGGTTAGGTAAGGTCTGTGTTTTCTATGAAGCTTTTCAAGGTAAACTAGTATGTTTAGTTGAGTATGTCACATATGCACGTATTTAACAAGTCAATATTGACTGAAAGAAAGTGCGAGAACGGGTTGCACCTGACCACCTAAGAAAAGCTCTCTTACTACTCTATGCCACCAAGCAACAAGGAAGAGAAAAGGTCACCCAACCAAGTATTAAAAGATAATTAAATCATATACTATAAATGTTCTTATGTCTTGCTTTTTGTGTGACACCTCAAGCGGGAAGTCAAGTACTTTTAAAGAGTACTGTAAATACTGTACAATATGTCTACATAATATTTTCCATAAAACTTAATACAAACACCAGCATCTATGCAAAATTTAACTGCACTTTTTTCAGATAATTTGTAACTAAATGTGAATATTGACCAGACTACACACTAGAAGGTGAAGGGACGACGACGTTTCGGTCCGTCCTGGACCATTCTCAAGTCAATTCGCATTCTCAAGCAGGCGATGAGTCACGTTATTGTGACTCATCGCCTGCATAAAGGTGAATACTTAGATGATAAAATGACTTACCTAAAAATGTTCCTAAACAAAATGGCCAGAGAGGCACATTAACAATAGGACTGGAAATATTGATGAACCAGTTTGGCAGGAAGGGTGTGATCCGCAGGAAGATAATGTAAAACAGCAGGTTCTCTCTCTGTTTATCCACCTGGTGAAAAAAAAAAACATCATTTGCTTTCCTTGTCCAATCCACTTAATATACAGATACCCTACCAAATCTGTGTCATATGCCATGTCTTCAATAACTGCCACAAATCATAATCTAGGACTTAATTAAATTATGGAATATAAAAATATATTCCGTTTCACTGCAGTGAATGTAATGAAAACATCTTTCTGGTTGAAATCCAGTGGCTTCCTGAAGCCACCTCACTAAGATTGTTCCACCTAATGGGTCACATCAGTCCATGGAGCTCTGCTTGGAATACCTGGCACGAGAGCTAGAGCCTGACCCTCTCAGAAAAGCACAGCCCGCCAAACACACACCAAAACTACGAGTTGGTACAACGTTTGAACAAGTTTTAACACCTCCTAACCGGTTATAACAACCAATATAGCAAGTTGTAACAACGTTCTAATACGTCATAAACACGTTAAACCAAGATGTAACAACTTTATTACAAGTTGTAACAAGCAGAAAATAGAGAGTTTCGGTTTGTGTTTCCAGGGAGAGAGCTAGTGGCAATTCACCACCAAACTGAGAAAGCACTTAGAAAATCAGGGAAGCTTAACAAAAGCTTTTTGAAGTGGAGGGTTCACAGAAAACGTTGGCCTGAAAACCACCAAACAACTCTACAAACGATTCAACCAGCACAATAGATTTACTCAAAACTAGCCTGAACTTAGTAATGATAGCCATCACATAGCCTGGCCCCAGCCCACAGTCAGTGTTCCCTTAACAGTTCTGGGGCCAGATTCACGAAACAGTTACGCAAGCACTTACGAACCTGGACATCTTTTCTCAATCTTTGGCGGCTTTGTTTACAATTATTAAACATTTAATGAGCTCCAAAGCACCAGGAGGCTGTTTATAACAATAAAAACAGTTTATTGGGACGTTTTCATGCTTGTAAACTATTTAAGGGGGCGTCTGGTTATTATAATGAAAGTTGTTCAATGTCAACCAATATTATTTTTCTAGTTGTATATGAAAAGTGCTTAAATTGTCCCAAGTTTCAGTACTGCAGCGTAAATAGAAAGGGAGTTTTTTTTTTTTTTTTTTTTTTTTGAACGTTTTTTACACATTTTCAAGTCCACACTTCAGAACACACGTTTCAGATAAAATTATTCTGTGACACTTTTCTGACACATTAGCATATAATAAAGGATTTGGGGATTTAGAATTTCCAAAACATCTTTAGTTTTCCTAATACAAATGTTCAAAGTTCCCCAAAATTTTTTTGCAAATATGGCATGTTTATTGCTATTATAAAATCAATAAATGAACTTAGAGAAAAATGAAAGCCCCCCAATGTAGAGACATGCCCTCCACATATACTGTGTAAGTTTCATGTAAATTGAATAAAAAAAGAATGAGTTTTGTAAACGTTTGTGTCAATTGAAAAAAAAACAGAAATGAATAAAGTCTAAGGTTCTAAAATCTGTGGCTGGGGTTGACATCAACCAATTTTCTCAAAAATAGGCATCCTTACAGATAGGCTTACGTACAGTCAGGTGTGTAAGTTTGATGCAAATCGCCCCAAAAAAAAATGAAAAAAAAAAATATTTAAAAAAAAAAAAGAAAAAAAAATCCTTTTTTTTTTTTTTTCCTTAAATTTTTTTTCCAATTAAACTAATAACAATATTTGTTTAATATATGCTATTGTGATAGCAAAGAGTTGTAGTTATGATTTCAGTTGACACTTTTGATTGATAATCGATTTTGACCATTTTTGCATAATTTTCACAACTACTTCAATATTTTTTTTCTCCCTTCCTATTTATGCTACAATGCTGAAACTTGGACCAGATGAAACACTTTTCATATAGAACTTGTCAAAAAAGTTTGATTGAAATCGAATGAGTTTTCATTTTTGCATTTTTGGACCCAGATGCCAACCAGACGCCCCCTTAATAAATGTAACCAAAGCCGTCAAAGATTGAGGAAAGATGTACACGTTCGTAAGTACTTGCGTAACTGCTTCGTGAATCCGGGTCCTGGAGTTGATATACAACCCACTGATGAACCGATGAACCTGGAGGAAAGGGATGGAACCAAGGAGCCACTGGGCCCCTATCAGAAAGAGGCCTTTCATTACATTTTACACTAAGTTTTTGGGAGAGATCCAAGGTGGCTTCGTGAAGCTAACTAGCCTCAGAGAAAAGAAAACACGGGACTTACCAGAGTAGGAGAGAAACCAGGCTGGGAGACACAGCACAAAGTAACATACAACTTGGAGGATCAGGAATGTTAACCAAATACCAGGCCACCAGAACCCTGTTAAAATGCCAAATCCTTGAGCCCATATGAACCCAGGACATGGATAAGAATGCCGCCAATGCAGCACATTTGCAAACATTGGGGTCTCGAGGGTAGACTGCAAGTTAGCTAGATTTAATGACACTGCAGGGTACATGGAAAATGCAAGCCATGGAACAAGGAGCTAAGGAAACAGAACAACCCATAATGCATCAACGTGGGCATAACCAGTAGCCCACAGATAGTGGTGAAGAGCCACCACTGGATACAATAAATGATGTACTTGCAGTTGGACCAACCAAGCATCAATAATCAAAGGACCACTCTGGAAGCTATCCAACACATTCTTCACCAGAAAAGAAGCAGAAGGCTGCAAAAGAACAAAACACCCATTAAGGCCAAAGGAACCCCTCCCCCTCCAGAGAAGAGCACAAAATACACATAGAAATCATAATAGCGTGATGCACCAAATGAACAAATCCACAAGGGCCGTGACGAGGGTTCAAAACCTACATCCGGTCTAATTCTTTTGACAATGTTGTGACGCAGTCAACTAGGCGCGTCTGGGATTATCCCGGATGTAGGTTTGAACCCTCATCATGGCCCTTGTGGATTTGTTCAAGAGCACAAAACTCGGCCACATGGCAGCCATAGGTGAGGGCCAATAAGATCACCGCCTTGAGAAAAATATTGCGAGTCGAAGGGGAAAAAGTGAACCAAAGGCAAGGGGAGAAACACCAAAAATCCATCAAGACCAGAATGGTTCAGGAGAAGCAGGAGCTGGCTGAAGATGAAAAGCATGAGACAACCTGTGTAAGGTGCTGAAGAAGATTGACAGAGTACGCAAGCAACAGCAGCTACACCAGTGCCAAACGATAAGGGGGCGACAGTATTAGGCATGAAATGTCGATCAAGAAACAGCCATAACAAAGGACAGGACCACCGTGACCACAAATCATGAAATCATGAAATCGTGACCACAAGGAACGAATGGTGACCAACTATTCAACTCTACCCAGTATTTGAACTAAAGGTCATGTTTCTAAAAAGTACTTTAGCTTCTTAAGTGATTTAAACAATAAGAAATCTTCCTTTAGTCAATCTTTATTTAATAAAAAATAATGTTAAGCTTAATGTTAATGTAATGTTTAGAAGCCTGTAAAGGCATAAATCTACATTTAATAGGCAGCACTTCCAAGTCTTGACATGAAAATAAAAACAATTATATATAATGGTACCTTTTCTTGCCATGTTTTTGTACGATCTGGCAGATACTTGAGGACAACAGGTCTGCCTACTAAATAAGAAAGCAGGTAGCAGAAGGAGGCGCCAGCTGCTGAGCAGAAGCATATGAGAAGCAGTGCCAACTCCCAGCGGAAGAGGAAACCTGTAGAATCAAAATGCCAGTGCTAGGGTTATATGTTCCATACAATGTTCAGTTCTTAATTAGGCAACCATATGTAAGCTCTAATTTCATGACCAAACATTGTGGTGGACTTACATAGGATTAGTTAGGAACAATAGGCATAAAATCCCTTTGCAACATCATACTGCAAAGCTAAGTAAACATGTAGAAACAATTTTATCATGTTGTGTATCCAAATTAATAATAACTTTTCAAAATCCTCAAGCGTTTGCGTTCTTTGTTTCGTGATTGTTGATACACCTTTTGCCACATTAGCACTCAACGTCCTTTTTCTTAGCAAGTACAGTGGATATCATTGACATAGATTTGTTGTACTGCCTAGCTAGTTCAACAACCCGTGTACCATTTTCATGTTTACAAATGATCTCTTGTTTTTCCTCTATGGTCATCCTCACATGTGTTTTACTAGGTTGAAACTTACCACTGACTTTCTTCGGACCCATGGCATGATATATATAATAATTACTTTTATGTTCAAAAACCAAAAAAGTTGAAAAAGAATAGAAGAATTTAAGCGCGATCGTCACTAAGTGGGCGGCTCTGGTAAACTGAACCAGGAAACACGCTAGTGTGACCCATACGTGAATGAACAAAGTCGCAAGGCAAGGCAAAGGTCGTAACCCGATTCAAATTTTCCAAAGAAATTGAGCTCGTAACCCGAAAAATTTGTAAAGAGGGACGTTCGTTACCCGAGGTTCCATTATAAGCTACTGTACTCAAAAAGAATTTTGAGCTCGTGCAACTTTATATAAATTATTCATTTCTATTTTACAAATACAGTACACATTTCTACTGAAACAATGTGAAATGAATCCAGGTACTGTACCATTTTATTATTTTTTTTTTAGATACTGGCACAATATACAAAAATATGAAAATATTGCTTTCGTACAATAAAAACAGTACAAGTTACAAACTTACCAGAAAGGATGGAGAGAAATATTGATCCAGGCACAGCAAATGTTTGAAGACTTGTTAAGGGTTAAGAAAATATACAGTACTCAATTATCCATATAAAAAAACATGGAGAAAAAATGTTCATAATCTTTGTTCCAAATCCTTGACACAAACACCAGAGGCTAACAACAGGGAGCGATAACATGTTGCTAGTCACTAAAAAATCCCTTGGTGGAAACATTTGCCTGCAGTTCATTTACTATTACAATTATATAGTTTATATATAAATATATATTACAACCAGGAGGCCTGGTCGACGACCGGGCCGCGGGGACGCTAAGCCCCGGAAGCACCTCAAGGTAAATGTACAGTAATGTAATGTAATATCCATCTGGTGGAGCCGGTCGGCCGAGCGGACAGCACGCTGGACTTGTGGTCTTGGGTTCGATCCCAGGTGCCGGCGAGAAACAATGGGCAGAGTTTCTTTCACCGTATGCCCCTGTTACCTAGCAGTAAAATAGGTACCTGGGTGTTAGTCAGCTGTCACGGGCTGCTTCCTGGGGGTGGAGGCCTGGTCGAGGACCGGGCCGTGGGGACACTAAAAAAAAAAGCCCCGAAATCATCAAGATAACCTCAAGATGATGATGATGATAATATGAGGGGTCAGGTACAGGAACCGGTTAGAGTATTTAGTCATGTTTTAGCCACACAATCCGCCAATCGTCTAACATCCATGTTCCTAATTACTGAATACACATGGATCTTCTTGAGGTTATCTTGAGATGATTTCGGGGCTTTAAGTGTACCCGCGGCCCAGTCTTCGACCAGGCCTCCACCCCCAGGAAGCAGCCCGTGACAGCTGACTAACACCCAGGTACCTATTTTACTGCTAGGTAACAGGGGCATAGGGTGAAAGAAACTTTGCCCATTGTTTCTCGCCAGCGCCCGGGATCGAACCCGGGACCACAGGATCACAAGTCCAGCGTGCTGTCCACTCGGCACCCTGGTCACATAAGCGGCACTTCCTTACACTTAAGCTATCGTGTTTAAATGGCTGGCAACTATAGATTTTCCCCAACAATAAGCTGAGGCTAAAGCATTACCAAGAAGTGGTGTGTAAAGGATACAAGATATATGTAACAAAGATTCCAGCCAGGACCTCCACAAAATATCGATCCTTGTAGTGGGAGAGAACACGACCCAGATTCTTAGCATCTTCTATATCCATTGGCAGCTTCATGTACTGATACTCATCTCTGTGGATATAGGAATCATTATAAACAATCTGAATTAATGCACATTTTTGTATTCTGTAACTCATTGTTAAAATAAATTTATGTTCACAACATGAATACAAGCTAATTATCCATCTATTTACCTTGAATAGAACCTAGATATCTATTTACCCTGAATACAACCTAGATATCTATTTACCTTGAATACAACCAACATATCAAGCCTGTAAGAAATACACACACACACAATTTTGGCATTCCATGCTTAAGGGTTAGGATTCCTTTTACAGAATTCAACTAACAGTAAATTAGCATGAAAAGAAGAGTTTAAAATAGTCCACACATACTAAGCAAAGTCCACTTGATAATGCCACTTAAGATGATAAGACGAGAACACGAAATGCCTCCAAAGTAGCCAGTTACAGTTCTCACATCCACCTTAGCAGTTAGGAGTGGGATAACTAATGATAAGAGCTGCTATATTGCCATAGTGAAAAAAGGAAATCTAAATTAAATTTAAATATCAAATAAGATCAATATATTCAGTATTTATCATATTTTAATATCCAATGAGAATGACCAAGATTTTTCTTCCTTACAATTAAAAATTTTGGAAATTAGTTGGAAATCAGCACTAACCCAGAAAAAAACAGCAATGAATGTAATGAAACGTCATTTTCTGGGCGAGACCTGGAGGTTCCCCGCAACTATACCGGGCTGATGTGTATATATTAGACCGTGGCAACACTCAATAGATGGAGTTCTATGCCTACCGGGGACCACGAGCCAGAAACTGGCCCCCCCTCAGAGAGGCACAAGGAACAATTGCCTATAGACATCCCCATGTAGCAGTCTATATCTGCCATCTACCAGATCAGGCACCCAGAAAGATAAATGGGGCTGTCTATAGGCTATTGCTCCTTGTTCCTCTCTGAGGGAGCCCAGGTTGGTCCCTGGTAGGCATAGAACTCCATTAACAGACTGTTGCCATGGTCTAATATATATACATCAGCCCAGTATAGCTTCGGGGAGCCGAAGAGGCTCTCCACAGAAAACATTATAATTGGTTGATTATAAGAAAAATTAAAAAGATAATGAAAATTGTCTATTCACTGTAGTCATTCACTGGTTCTTCAGGATTTAGAAGTTTGAAAATTAACCTAGCTGCTGCATTTAACATTTTGAAAAGCTAAGCTGGATCTGATATCTCTTTGAAGTCAGTAGAAAATACAGTACAGAACTTTAATTAAAAATATAAATTAAATAATTCAAAATATAATTTAAGACTAAATTAGCACCAGTAATCAATCACTCTTAGATATTAATTGCAATAGTCTACAATATGACTCACTCTTCCAATTCCGGGAAATTTTTATATACAAAGGTGAGGGTGGTGAGCGAGAGGAGGAAGATGGCAACAAGGCACAAGAGAGCACGTCTTGTGTCCATACTCGCCTCTGTCCCTCCCTCCACGTGCCCTCCTTCACTCTGCGTCATCTCTGAACAAAAAAAAGAAAAATTGAAATCAACTTGTGTTGGATTGATGGATTGCCACAAAGCATTACACTACAAGCAATTAAGGGTGTAAGGTTATCTTGAGATGGTTTCGGGGCTTTAGTGTCCCTGCGGCCCGGTCCTCGACCAGGCCTCCACCCCCAGGAAGCAGCCCGTGATAGCTGACTAACACCCAGGTACCTATTTTACTGCTAGGTAATAGGGGCATAGGATGAAAGAAACTCTGCCCCATTGTTTCTCGCCGGTGCCTGGGATCGACCCCGGGACTGCAGGATCACAAGTCCAGTGTGCTGTCCGCTCGGCCGACCGGCTCCCCAACTTCCCTTTAGACACCACATTTTAACTTTTAAGTGGAAATTCTTAAAAACTTACAAGTTTCCTGTTGAACTGAAATTTAAATTTAATTTAAATTTAAATCGGCGTTGAATGTAATGAAATGCCTATTTCTGGGTAAGCCCTGGTGGCTCCCTTACGTTATATACTAAGATGGCTTCCATCTACAGCCTGTACCAGGTCCCATCACCCATGGAGTTCTTAGGCCTACCAGAGACCAGAGCCAGAACCTGGTCCTCTCACACAGGTAATTACAATTATTACTTAACCTATTATAGGTATAGGTTAAGCCATTACTAAAACAAGCGAGTTCAAACAAGAACTTTACGGGCTTAACCTATACCTATAATAGGTTAAGTAATAATTGTAATTATGAAGCAATAAGATGCTTATCTTAACATACTAAGAAGGTTAGGTAAGGTCGGTGTTTTCTATGAAGCTTTTCAAAGTAAACTAGTATGTTTAGTATGTCACATATGCACGTATTTAATAAGTCAATATTGACTATACGAAAGTGTGAGAACGGGTTGCATGGCGAGCTCATGACATTGATACCATTCTTATCTCACACATGGTCAGTCGGTCGCCATTAACTCTTGGCGGCCACCTAGGAGTATTGAATATAATATATTATGTTCAATACTATATTTTTGTTGTTATTATTGGTATATTATATTAGGGTTATGTATACTATATTACAATTATTATATTCAATAATATATTATATCCACCTATATTGAATATAATCATGTGCCATCTGATTATTCACATTTTTAACTTATTCTCGAATCCTATTGTCTTGTTTTGGTCACATTATTGTTTTGGAAGACAAGATAAGCAGCGAACACACGCCAGCACATGTGTATATACGAAAGGGTTCTTTTATAAAAATTTGCTTGTGAACGAACTGCTTTTTTGTGTACTGAACAGACATTAATCAAAATAATTACTGTATACAGTATATGATTTGACCAGTCCTCGTGCTGACTGGATGCAAGTAGACACCATTACAAAATGGCTTCCAAATAGATTTTAAAACCTCCATAACCTAATTTAATCTAACCCTAATCTAATCAAACCTAATTTAATCCAACCTAATCTAATCTAATCCAACCCAACCCAACCTTACCCAACCCAACCTAACCCAACCCAACCTAACCTTACCCAACCTAACCTTACCCAACCCAACCTTACCCAACCCAACCTTACCCAACCTAACCTTACCCAACCTAACCTTACCCAACCTAACCTTACCCAACCTAACCTTACCCACCCTAACCTTACCCAACCTAACCTTACCCAACCCAACCTTACCCAACCCAACCTTACCCAACCCAACCTTACCCAACCCAACCTTACCCAACCCAACCTTACCCAACCCAACCTTACCCAACCCAACCTTACCCAATCCAACCTTACCCAACCCAACCTAACCTTACCCAACCCAACCTTACCCAATCCAACCTTACCCAACCCAACCTTACCCAACCCAACCCAACCTTACCCAACCCAACCTAACCTTACCCAACCCAACCTTACCCAACCCAACCTAACCTTACCCAACCCAACCTTACCCAACCCAACCTAACCTTACCCAACCCAACCTTACCCAACCCAACCTTACCCGGTCGGGAGCCGGTTGGCCGAGCGGACAGCACCTGGACTTGTGATCCTGTGGTCCTGGGTTTGATCCCAGGCACCGGCGAGAAACAATGGGCAGAGTTTCTTTCACCCTATGCCCCTGTTACCTAGCAGTAAATAGGTACCTGGGTGTTAGTCAGCTGTCACGGGCTGCTTCCTGGGGGTGGAGGCCTGGTCGAGGACCAGGCCTCGGGGACACTAAAGCCCTGAAATCATCTCAAGATAACCCGTACCCCCGGGACCTAGCATAAAGAAACTAAAAACCCAATTAAACCCGAGCATAAGAGGCCATGGTTTAATAACTTAAAATATACATACTGGCGACTACTGATAATTGAAATAAGTTTATTGAGGTAAAATACACGTGAAGGGATGAGGCAGCTCAAGCTATTCTCACCCCGTTCAGTACATCGTGTTAATACATACACAGACACATATCACAAACAATAAACATATTACCAAACATTCTGAGAGATAAACATATAAACATTTCCTAGAGATAGTTAACATCCTCTAGTTATGATCTCTCGTATATCTCATGTTACTGCTGCTGTATAGTCCAGAGACTCAAGACACGGCCTCAGCCTTCACACCTGCACCTCCGCTCCATTTCACCACTCAGGTAATTAATATAAATGTGATAAATACCTTTAAATAGTGTGAGAAGCGGTGTTCATGCCGGCCGCTGGCCAGACCCGTCAACAAGGTGGTGATGGTTCCTCGTGCGGCTGGCTACACACTCCTTCACCCACTAATGTCTCTTAAACTCTTACATCTCTTCACCTATATACCACAATTTAATCAAATTAATTATAATAAAGTGGTTATTAATTAATAATTCATAAATAATTCCCCTACGAGCACTCCCCCCCCCCCCCTTGTAAATGGCCTTGACCAGCCTCACTGAGAACTAAACCATCCCATCTTCACTCCTGTCAATAACACTTATTATAGATTTTTATTCGTATTTAACGTAAAATTTGAGGTAATCTAATTATTTTTAATAATTTTGGTGTGTTATTTTATCGTTTTACTAAATATAGGAAAATCATTGAGTCTCGTATGTCAGACGTAACTAGGTCAGTGAGATAATTGATTGCGTCGGCTGGACCTGAAGGTCGTATGTATGAACCTAATTCACGAAGCAGTTACGTGAGTACTTACGAACCTGTACATCTTTTCTCAGTCTTTGGCGGCTTTGTTTACAATTATTTAACAGTTAATGAGCTCCGAAGCACCAGGAGGCTGTTTATAACAATAACAACAGTTGATTGGCAAGTTTTCATGCTTCTAAACTGTTTAATAAATGTAACCAAAGCCGTCAAAGATTGAGGAAAGATGTACACGTTCGTAAGTACTTGCGTAACTGCTTCGTGAATCTGACCCCAGATAACATAACATACAATAACTATAATTATATACTGTACAATCAAAATTTGTATTTAGAAACTACACTTACCCGAGATTTAAAAAAGTATTTCAGTTGAACTATGATCGTTCTTTAGAACTCACTCCCTGACGAATTAAAAAATTGTCCATACCATCCCTTGTTCAAAAGTAAAACCAAAAAGCACTTAATTTCATCCTCATAGTTTCCTACCTTGTGCTTCAAACTCACACTATATCTTGTACTACCCACGGACCAACCACTTGGGCTGGACGGTAGAGCGATGGTCTCGCTTCATGCAGGTCGGCGTTCAATCCCCCGAGACCGTCCACAAGTGGTTGGGCACCATTCCTTTCCCCCCGTCCCATCCCAAATCCTTATCCTGACCCCTTCCCAGTGCTATATAGTCGTAATGATTTGGCGCTTTCCCCCTGATAGTTTCCTTCCTTGTACTACCCACTTGCCCATTATTAATACTTAAGACATATATTCTTACCAATGTAAGGATTGAACTTGATACCAATTTTTTTGTTTAAACACCCTGTATATTGGAAGAGCAAAGTGTTGTTTACCATTAGAGTATTAAGAGAGAGATTGGCACAATTTATATCACAAAATTAAGATGATTTGAAGACTATTTAAGGTACTAATATACACTTACCTCAACAAATTCTGAGGCTATCACGGTTCAGAATCACATTGGTGGACTTCATTAGGTATTCAGTCGGAAAAGCATCTTTAAGCCTTTATGACAGTAGATTACTTCATAAGTCCAAATATCCAGCAAGGTGTCTTAAGTCAGCCTTTGACATTGTTAACCGACACGTCATTCTTAGTGAACTTGCTAAAATGAATGTTGGGAGATGGATGGATTCTTTAATGGTTGAAGCCATCTATCCTCAACTGTTCCAAGGTCATATGAGTGTAACGAGAGATTTTGATCTGGGCACTTCACAGTCAGGTTACTGTTTTTTCTTTATTATTTTAGCCAAATATCCCCAGTTTGCTAACTGTAGGTAGTAACTAAGTGATTGTAACCTATCCACCGCCGCCCACTGGATGGGGGGCGGTGTGCAGGACAAACATATCAGTTGTGACACTAGCTCTCCACATATGTCAGTTGCTTAATTTAGAACCTGTACTTGAGGTCGATCTCGAACCCATTGTTGATGTGACGACTTGTATTGAATTTTGTAACTAGCTCATCAAAATTGTAACTTGCTTAGCTAAATGAATTGTGGGGTTCAGTCCCTGAGCCCGTATGTGCCTCTGTAACCCACTACCGCCCACAGCATGGGTATGGGGTGCATAATAAATGAACTAAACTAACTTATTGTTGCTTCCTACAACAACCTGCAGTTACATACAAGAGCACCAACGCCAGTAGTGGTCACAGTGCAAGAGGTCACAAGAAGGCCGGGTCACTGTGTCTCACCTGGAGAGGAAGGTCAAGACAGCCCTCCACTGCCTCAAGCAACACAGGAAGCCTTCTCCACTGGCTCCCAAGCCCTTCAACCTGCTTAAAAGCAAATTTAAAAGATCTGTTGAGTCAACCCAAGTAATGACAGGTAGCAAATGAGCATGAACACTTGAGCAATACTTCAGAATGAGGAATGATGTAAAGGCACCTTTACTAGCAAAATAAATTTATTCGACAAACTTTCTTGCTAATACACTATGACATAAGTTACGTTATGTTAATCAAAAGTGTCATATTAACAGTAACATCATCTTGCAGCAGGAATCTGTTCCCACTGCTCTAACAAGTGATAATTGAGACCACTGTCTCCACTCTGGATAGGTCATGAACAATACTGAACTAATTTGAACACTTACTGAACACTGGCAATTATTGTACTCAAGACAGACAGTATCAAACAATTCAAATTAACATGATATAAGAACACTGCTTTTTCTCAAAAAAGCGGTGGGTTTTCTGAGGAAAAGAAAAGCATATATATCATATATGTCTTTAGCATATATATCCCTCCCAATATGTCTTTAGTATATATATCCCTCCCAATTTTTATAAGAGAGTAAGAACGGGTTTCATTATACTCTAGGGTACGGCTTCCAATCACATGCTTTACCCGGCAGTTTACGGGACCCCAAACTGGGTAAACTCAACCATGCCTTGCCCAGTTGGCTCATGCTACCAAGTTTTTAGTCAATTTTCCTTGCCCAACCGTAGTTGAGTGCAGTGAAAAGCTTCACGTTTTCTTGTCTAGCCTAGTCTAGTGCATGGTGCTGTATACAGTTCATTAGGGTAAGGAACTTTCTTTGCCTAGTCAAAGTTTTGTGGAATTTTTCTGGATTTCATAGGAAGTTTAGCATATTTGATGAAGTTATTCTATTCCACTTAAGTTTCTTAATACAGTATATACTGTGTATACAGTATACAGCAAGTTAGCAGTCCATCCACAGACTATGCTCATGCAAGCTGTGGCCAGTCCCGAAGAAAGGGTATTTAATTTTAACTGTGTAACCAAAAACATACGTTTCTCTAATATATATACCGTATTACAAATAATGTATATTATAATTTTGGGTTGTGCTAGGCCTAGGAAAGATTAGGTTAAGTCTTAAAATTCTATTTGTAATACTGTAATTATTAGTGTTTGCAGGACGTGGTTGAAGCATTTAAAGGGATATGATTCAAATACAAGAAAAGAGAAAAGTACTGTTCAAGAAAATGTTGAATGCCATTAGCTGTGACTTCACCCCATCCTCAACAACAATGCCCAAATGCTGGTTAATCCAGTTGCCAAATCCTTTGTTTATGAATGAAAGCCACTTTACACACAAATCCCCAACTGATAACATGTGTTCTTTTCTCAAACACTGCTTCGTTTAAGTCCTCTGCTCGAATTGCACCTCTTATGTTTCATTCACATAGAGTACTGTAAATACCAATAATGATAATTGCCAAGAGAACCTAACCACCTTAGTAAGGCCTAACTATTACACATTTTAGTATGCAACATTAACATATTTGAGAAATACAAATTTTGAATCCGCAGGACGTTAAAATTGATCAATGCATCTTTGGGGTCGGCCACTGGTTGAGGAGCCTTACCTGATGACAGGCGAGTCGTTTGTAATGTATTTATCATTCACAGTTCACTTGATAATGGTCCAGGACGGACCGAAATGTCATCGTCTTGTCATCTTCTGGTGCGTGGTTTAGTCTTCATATTGCAGGGAACACAGTGGGAGATAGTAAATACCATCAGAATCTGTTGCCATAATGGGACAGTGTGGGTTATGGTTCAGAAAAGGTGAAGAAATCATTGTATAGGTCCAAAAGTTCAGTGTAAGATACTCAGCACGAAACTTATGAGCAAGGAAGCCAGGAGAGGTGAGAATATGTATTGGTCACAAGGTATGAACCTTGCTCCTTCACAAATATCTGGCTCAATACTTACAGCTCGTCCTCATGAACAATGGCTAAAGTCCATTCCATGCATTCACCAAACCCCCTGTTTATGAATGAAAAACAGTTTACATGACTCGCAACTGATGACGTTCGAACGCCTTTTCGAACAAGTGCTTCACTGACAACTTTTGTTCAAACCACAATGCTGTAAATGCTTCACCCACATACTTCAAAAACAAATAATCACCAACAGACCCTAAACACCTAACCAATGCCTAGATATACACAGTATGCTAATATATAGCAATATTAATATAAAATTGAGAAAATTCCTATTTTGAGTGAATAATATATTAAAGTTTATGAATGCATCTTTGGGGTCGACCGCTGGATGGAATGGACTTGGTCTGAGGACGGGTTGCTCAATAACAGAACCACAAACATGAAGAAGGACAAGCACTATGCCAAGAACAAACTTTCCCACAATTTTGTAAATTCTCTTCCAGATCTGGGGAAAAGGAGTGTTAACGTTAATAGTGGAGATGCAAGATCTCCAACTCTTTAGTTTGGCCTTACAAATGACCCTGTGGGCCTCCACATTGTCTTTCTTAAACAAAACAAAGGATACTGATGTGTTCTGGTGTTTTTCAAGTTGCTAGCTTACAGCACGAACAGTGTCTGAAGTCCAACAAGACAAATCCACAAGGGCCGTGATAAGGATTCGAACCTGCGTCCGGGAGCATCCCAGACACTGCCTTATTCGACTGAGCTATCAACTTAATCGACCGATGTATCACATTAGTGTGATTTCTGTGTCCAACAAAACACTTTTTGTACCATGTGAGGTACAATACAGGATGTACTCAGGGACAGCATCAAGCAGGGCAAGTTGAAGAAGGAAGTGAGGGACAAGAAGACAGTATTGACGGTAGCATCTATTACCATGGTAAACAAATATGGTATTTATTCTAATAAAAGGTACTCATGGAAAATGTCTTTTTATTAATTTACTAAAAAAATAACATTGATAATATTAAGATTTTC